TGTTCCCCTTACACGGGAAGGAGTTCACCTGCTCCAATGCTGACAAAACATGAGGACGTGGTTAAGAGAATCACGTCAATGTCAGAAACCCGAGAAAATAGTGAGCTCGTGTACTTGAGTCCAATTCACAGAAATGGGGAGAAACATGGTGGTTACAAAGAAGGGCGGAGGAAGTGCTTGACCAGAATACGGTTTCAGGTTTTCAGAAGGAAGCTGTTGTCAGACTGGGGTGTGCAGCAGTGTCAGTACATTTAACACCACCGAACTTCATACATAAAAGCCGTTAAGATGGTAAATGTTACAATTTTAATATAGTTTTAAAATTTAAAAAAAAAGTCTCTGCTCTCTAAAACAGAAATTCCATTTCCAGAAACCCATTCTGATGGCACGAAAATCTCAGAACACCAGGGAGGGTGTGCACGAACAAGCTCATCCCCACTGGACTAAAGAGCGGGCGTGCAGACACCGCTTACCCACCCTTAGGGAAATGAGCATTAGGGTTTCACTGACTAAATTAACAAAACCCTTAGAAGGATTGAAGAGCGGTACATCACAGTACCGGAAGTGCTCATCCATGTGGAAATGTCATGCAGGAGTGGATACAGCTTGTTCTTTAGGTGAAGAGGTGGCGCTGAGACTGAGCAAGCTTCTTCTAAGGGCAGGGTTCACTCTGCTCACCGTGGTATCTCCAGCACCTACCGTGGTACCTTCCAAAAGACAGTAAATATTCTCTGCCCAACCAGCAAAACTAACACCCACACACAGCTAGTTTCAGATGATCCATGACTGAAAGATTTCCTATTCAATAAAAGCTCTCGGGCCTTAAATGAAGAAATCATTGAGACTAGCTGGGAGAGGAGAGTTCATTAAAGCAGACGATACAGGCTTTTTTTCCCCGTGGCCTACAGGGGGAAACCAGAGGAAGGATATGGTAGGAAGCTCCATGGAGAAAAATGGAGCTAAGGCAACACCCAGTTGCCAGAGATCTCTCTAGTGCCCATATGGGCATCTGGCCAGACTTACAGAACGTAGGACGTAGCCAAAGGGGTTCCGTGGTTGCAGCAGGCAGCCTGACGCCAGTGTCCTCAGGATCCACCCGGATTCTCAGGGTAGGTTCACTGACTCCTGATGAAAACCATAGGGTGGAAAATGTAAGATATTGCTCTTTACAGTTTTCTTTACTGGGAAAACATCTCAGTAAAGGGCTTTCCACACATGCATGAGTTCAATCCCCAGAGCAAACTCACATTAGAAGAAAGGAAGGAAGGAAAGGAGGGAGGGAGGGAGGAAGGAAGGAAGGAAGGAAGGAAGGAAGGAAAATGTTGTATCTGTGACCCCAGAGCCTGAACTAACTAGCCAATCAAGCCACATTGATAAGCTCATTCCAGGTCGGTGAGAGACCCTGCCTCTAAAAACATGGTGTCCATATGTTTCATGAGAAATGACACAGGTTGTGCTCTGGCTTCTGGCATGTGCACATATATGACTATGCATGTATATGTAAATGCATGCATATATAGGCAAAAATGAAATTTCTGCTTATGGAACTTAATGTTGGTTTTATAACATTCATAATTATATTAAGAGCCATATAAATCTTTTGAGTAGCTTAAATATAAGACAACCACACAGAATCTTTTAAATTAAAATACTGAATGTGCATTTTAAGGGAAACCACATATAGAAAATATGTATTTATACACTTTTTTAAAAAATAATGTATTGCTATCGTAAATGCTCCTACCGTGAAATTAACTCTGTCCTCCTCTTATACAGGCATCGTATTTTACAAGGAATTCATTGGTGCTGCTTTTCTTACTGTATTTATATATCTTTTTGGGTGAGTAAAAGTCTCAGAGGTCAGGCATGTGAAGTTCTATTAATTTTGTATAGGATTTTTGGCATCATACCTGAAGTATAGAAAATTGGAACATATTATGAGAAACATACTTTTCAACTTAACACTCTATGTAGGGCTTTGTGCCCTCCCTTGGCTTTGTGGCTTGTGTCCCCCTTTAAGAGTCCGGAAACCTTGGGGGTTTTCTGTTCCAACCAAAGTCATGATAAATTCACGGGTGTCTGTGGTTACTCCATTGCCTTTTCATTCTCGTCAAGCCCACCTCTCCCTCAGAGCCCTTAGGTTGGATCACCCAAGCAAATGGCCAAGGCTGGTAGATTCTAGCCCTAGATTTAGCATCTTCAGGTTGGTTGTTCCCTTTCTATCACAAAGTGCCCAGTTGGGCCCCTTCTAGAGACTCGGGGGATGTCAGTGCTAACATCACTGGCAGCCAGAGAGCCAAGCCTCGATGGTGTGTTGCCAATAATAGCTGCTTCCATCGGCTCCAAGCACTCCCCATTAATGCTTAGCTGCCTCTTGATCTGCTATTCAGCATGACCATTGTTATGCAAACTTGAGCCTAGTCTATTTTCAACATAGGAAACCATCTATCTTGAAAATTCAATTTCATAAGACATTTGGGCGCGGCCAAACTTCTGGGGTCTGGAAACTATGACTACTCTTATGGCCAAGGACAATGAGATTTCTTAGAAAATTAAAGAATAACTTGTTTTTCACTCATGTTGCATGCCAGTAATGGGTCTGGGCATGCACGGATAGAAAACGAGACCTAGTGTCTACCCAAAGGGTTTAGAGCCTGAATTAGCCTCCAGATGGTGAAAACCTGGGGCAGAGATTTATTGGAAACTGCCCAAGTCTTGGTTCTGGGTATAACTATTACTGGCTGTGAGAATCAAGACAAGTTCAAGGCAGTTTACCATAAGAAATGGAATATACAAAACCGATGGAATTTATGTCATCATGTACAAGTTAGAGCACAGCTATTTAATACCACGGGCTATTTCCGTCTTCCTGTGTTCTTTATTAACATGTTTCTTACAGGTGCTTTCTGTCATTCCTTGGCGTATTTTTGGTGACAAGAAATAGAGAAAACGAACATCTACAACAGTCTTTTATTGATTTTGGGAATATTCCTGGTAAGAAGAAAAAGATGTATATATTTTCTCTATAATAGAGTATCCTTGGGCCTGGGATGATTCAATGGATAAAAATGCTTGCCACCAAGCCTGATGACACAAAGGTCACATGGTTGAAGTTGATAACCGACTCTTACAAGTGTTCTAACCTGCACGGATGCATACATACACAAACCAATAAATGACATCTTTTTAAAATACAGAAAGAAAGTTTACCTTTATGAATTAATCACTGTTGTCACTATATTGGATGTTAATATGAATGCATAATTTTTACCTCAAGAAGTGCATTGAGTGGGTGAAGCCCGGGAAGGCATAAGGTTGATAACTTTAGAACAGTTCTGCACAGAACCATGTGATTGTTGAGGAACCGACCAGGCTTCCTTGAGGTGGGTTACTTGGAAGTTCTCATTAGGTTTCCTTTAAAGTGTCAGAGGACATGGATCCAATGGGAATGGCAGATCCCTGACACCTACAGACCCTTTGAGGGGTCGTCCAAAGATTGATAGTCCGGATGCTAAAGAACATCATTCCGGAAGAAGACTGGGGCAGCTTGTTCACTGTGATGCCCAGAGTGACCACCACAGTCACTAGGACGTGAACACTCTCCCTCCTCACCATCCATGCAGACTGGACCACTGGGTACCACCTTCCCAATGCTTGTTTCCCGCCTTGTGTGCACACAGTGCACAACAGAAGCAAAATCCAGGGCAAAACCATTCTTACCACCCTCCCGCCCTAACCCACCCACCCATGTCTAACTTTGCTAAAGATTTGGGGTGACCCACAGGATTCCACACAATAGTAGAGGAAGTTTTCTCCACCATTCTGTCTATCATTCCTGTAAAGCAAATAAAAAAAAAAGAAAAAAAATCACTAAAGTTTCTATAAGACTGAGGAACGAAGACCAAGGAAGCGAGTTTGGTATTCCCTTTGCCATGTAAACTCCCTAATCAAGAATTCTCAGTGTTAGAATTGACATTTATAGCAGCAATGCTCATTAGAGCTCATTTAAAACTGATTTTTTGTAAGAAATAAGAAATCTGGAAAATAAAGGGGTGTTTGTTTGTTTGTTAACTGTTTTCCACGTCACAAAGCTTTATGTGTAGGGTCTGCAATGACAAACTTCTGGTGCATGGTGTTTTCCTAGGTTGCTGTATAGACAAGGGAGGAAGACAAAACACTGCAGAGGGAGGTTAGGATAAGAGTGACTGGGTTATGTGGCTGTCCTGATTGCTCCAACCTGTTTCCATGCCCAGTACAGAGTGGGCAGATGTCACGTGAACAAGTGTGTAACCACATGACAACGGCTGTGAGATTTTTGTGGGCCTTTCTTTCCTGGACGTTTTATCTTTTTCATTGAGAGAGTAACCACATAGTGTGTTTTTTAAAGAGATAAAATGTGACCAGAGCTGGAGAGAAATTATTAGGACATTTTTATCTTTTTAAGAGCTCAAAAGATCTTTTTATGATTATTATCTCCACAGGGAAACAAACGTTGGACAAAATACAACCAGATTCAAATGGCACATCCTATGGAACCTTGCCTGATGGAAGTGACCCAACACAGAGCCAAAGTGGAGAGAAGAAAGAAGCCTAAAACGCCGAGAGGGAGGGCTGTTGGCCTGTTACTTGATACCACCTTTTTAAAACATTGCACATGTTCAATTTGTGTCAGCAGCTATTTCACGCTGACGTGCGCACATTCGATTCAGGCCTCCCCCCCCACTGTGGACAATCAGGGCCCTCCTAATCTCTAACAGTCTAATGCTTTCCTGGAATGCAACTCAAAGTGCTCCCCACACCCTGAACCTCTCCCCAGCGATCATCTTCATGCGAGCCTGGCTGCTTCAGCAGATGCCACGCAGAAATGTGCACTCGAGATCTGGCCACAGCCGGCATCGGTCGCTCCTCCATGTGGCTCGCAGGATCAGCTTGTTGGCTTCAAGATGCCCTCTGCTGCCACAATCTGTCTTTCAGGAAGGGTTCAATGCGCTTCTCTCAGGCTTCTTCTATGGACGTTTCGTGCAGACTCACTCCCTTTTCCTTGTCAGGATGGCGAATCACCTTTGTGGGAAACCAACTCTGTTGTAATCCTCCTTTGAAAATGAAGGGCCTTGTTTAGAAACAGAATCTACAAGCGGTATTCTGTTATGACATATACTAAGAACTCCAAGGCCTGACTTCTGGCTTTTTTTAAGCTTTGGGGAAAAAAGTGTCTGCTGGGCAATGGTGGCTGGGGAGACAGAGGCAGGTGTATCTCTAAGTTCAAGGTCAGCCTGGTCTACAGAGCTAGCTCCAGAACAGTCAGGGCTACACAGAGAAACCCTGTCTCGAAAAATAAAAGCAAACAAACAAAGGGGAGGACACATTTAAGACCCAAAACTGTGGTCACACCTCTGGCATATGTACTGAAATTCAAACAGCACATATTTTACCATGGTTTTTGTGTTAAATGTGACACACAAATTTGTAAAGTGTTAAAGATTTTGCCACAATGTTTTCTTTTCAATAAAACTCTAGAATGGTAGCATTTTCTCCAGACTTACGATCCTATTATATTTACATTGAAACTGAAGAAAAACTTTATGATATGCCTTAAATTGTTACAGATCCTATACTTTATCTGGTGGATTTCTATGCTTTAACTTCCAATACAATTCTCAAAATGGCATTTAGATTCTTGGAATAGTCCCCCAAGTCCTCTGAAGCTTTGCCAGTTTTTCTAGAAAAGGAAAATCATGACCAGAGGACTGGGTTTCTGCTCCTCAAATCTGGCCATGGGATGTAGCCTATAGAGGACCCATGGCTGCCACTTAGCACGTTCTACTAACATACATTTGCAGGCAGAATTTGTTATAACTTTTATTGCTTATGCTGTACCTAGTATTTAAACAATAAGAAAAGAGTACACATTTATTGTAACCAAATAATAAGGCCCATCCTTAATGACACTTTAATCGTCCACCCAGTGTCGCTTGAAGACTTATGTTTGTGCGTGGCACTAAACTCGGAGATAATGAGATGCTAATCTTAACTGTTTCTAGTCTTCTAATGTTTTCTTTATTATAACCTGACCTCTGACCAAACTGGAATAACCCAAAGCCTATCCCTGGCTGCAAATTCTTATTAACAGTTCCTGACACTGTGAAAAGTGTCCCATTAATCTGGATGCAATAGTCATAAAGTTAACAACGTATTTTACTGAATGGGTATAGCTTGTTGACTCTGGGCAGCTCAGCTAAGTTATGTATCTGGTGCCTTAAATGATGGATTTCTAGTAAATCTTGACATTGGTTTCAAAGACTGGGAAACAGCTAAACCAAAGAGTTTTCCTTGAACTAGGACCACATTTCATAGGTACAACACCCAATTTTGAGCACTGTAGAGTTTTGCAGAGACAAACAACAATGTGTTGGTACCCTCCAGCATTTGAGTTTAAGGTTTTGAAAGATGAAATTCATCTATGTGATACAGAAATGTTCTTGAAATCATGGTTAGATATATTATATTCAGATCTGATTTTACTAACTGTGGTGGACCAAACCAAGGTGGAGAGAAGTTTTGATTGACTGGCCCAGAGGGTGTTTCTCTTTCTCTTTTCATGCTCAGTGCCTGATGACAACCACAGCCAACCCACCCCCTTTTCTGAAACTGTAGGCTGGGAACCCTTGCCCAACATTTGGCTCATTTGACTATTTGTCTAGGCCAAGGACTGGTTTTTTCAGCAAAGACTTAAAAAGTAAATATTTGGGGATTTGTGTTGTCCATATGGTATCTGTCCCTCACTGCTCAGCGACTCCATCAAAGCACAAATGTAGCCATAGACAATATGTAAACAAATGGGAATTGATGTCCATCAGTAGTTAGTAACAAAAAAAATTAGTAGCCAATCCATGTTGCCAAGCCCTGGTCCAGACTCCTTTGCCTTTGCTATGCAACTTTTTTTTTTCTTGTTTCGTGAGCTCTGGAGAGCTAAAAAAAAAAAACCCTGACACTTCATGGTTTGTGACAAATCAGATGCTTGGTATTTACATTAGGATCATTTTTGCTTGTGTAAGAAATAAATGGATTTGTTATGAGTTTATTCTCAGAGTCCAACTTTGTCTCTTTGGAAAGCCGTGGCTCTTTTATGGGCACAGTTAGACATGCTGAAAGAATTCCCCAGTCCCACATCCCACTCCGATAATGGCTTTGGGAATTAGCTCTCAGGCAGTCGGCTAGTGCAGAGGTCTCTGCCGTCTGACCACTTAGTTTGAATGCTTGCTTACCCTACGCTATGACACCCTTATTACCAAAAATCCCTTGAAAACTTGTGAGACAAAATATTTTCAAGCAGACTCAATGTATTCTTCAGACACACCACACACACGCACACACACACACCCCACACACACATACCCACACATCACACAATGTACACACACATATGCACACATACATACACACCACACACACACACGCTCCACACACACACACACGCTCCACACACACACCCCACACACACATACCCACACATCACACTATGTACACACACATATGCACACATACATACACACCACACACACATACACACACAACACAATGCACACACACATACACCACACACACACACACACACTGCCGCCACCTACACATGTCCCACACGCAGCCCTGCAGTTTCTGTTCTATAATGGAGAAAGAAGGAGAAGAGGAAGATTTTGTAGATGTGTGCAGTCCCGGTGCTTTTGAAGAACAATGTGACAATCTCTGAGTTTGGCTAAAAGACTCCGATGGCTGGAAATACGAAGCTGAGGATGTCTGCATGCTCTCCGTTTTCCAGGCACACAGCATATCCAGGAATCGTGACTGCACGTGCTCGGCCACTTTGAAGCCCGCCTCTGGGATGCCAAGTTAATGGAGATATGAGGGATATAAGCACAGTTAGTGAAAATGAACCTTCCCAGCACACACCCAGCTTGCTTTGTGCACACTCTGTGGCTTGTTATTAAGACAGTCCTTGAACAAGCAAGCAGCTGTGAGCCTGGTGCAAGTCTCTGGCTCCTGTCCATCCCTCCTTCCCTCAGCCCTGCACCTTAAGTTCTGTCTTTTCAGGATGTCGGATATCTGGGATCATACAATATGCAGCCTTTGAGCCTGATTTCTTCCGTTTCTTAATCCACATATCTTGCCTCCATGTCTTTCCGGGCTTGATAGCCTCATAGCAAGACTGCTAGATAAACACCACACATTCTGCCCTGGTAAGTACTCAAAATTGAACCTAAAACGTCTGTATGAGGAATTTTGAGGCTGCTTCTAATCGTTAAACTCATCAACAGCCTGGCTTTTATTATGGCCACCTAGAAGCAAAAATTTTAAAAATAAAAAAGATCAACGCATACACAGTTTCAAATATAGACTAGGGCTACTGAACACAGTGCTTTAAAATAATGCCTTAGCAATGTGGTAAATCCAAGGAAGAGCCTTCCCACCCAGAAATTCTTGTGTCTGTCCCCTTTCTTACCAGCCTGAGGGTACCACCCAACACGCTGTCCTGTGCCAGAACAAATCCGTTACAGGAGCTGTGGCCCAACTAGGAAAACCCCTCTTTCAATGTGGATCCTTATTGAGACTTACTGAGTATCACGCACAGCATAAAAGAGGAATATCAACACCATAGCAAATAAATGATTTTTCAAGGCACACCCAACTGAGAAAGCCATTGCTAGGAAGTTCACAGAGTCCTGGGCAAGATGCAAGATAGTCTCCACGTTCCGGGAATGAACCTCTTTCTCAGGGATGTAGCTGGCCCATTCAGTCAGAGCAGCTGGGGCAGACCAAAGCCACTTCCAGAACCTCTCCTTCCACGGTTCTAATTTTAAAACAAACCTCAGACATTTTGTGAGGTTTGGGCTCTCCTCCCTCTCCGTCCAGGGCACTTCACCTAAGCCTTCTGAACACAATGCACTACGAGGAAATGAATCAGCTTGACAGGGCTTGATCTAGAGACTCAAAGCTTGGGATAGTTGCCTGATTATAGACTGTTCGCCCAGATACCAAACGACCCAAACTGCCAAATACTCATGAAGTCACTAGATCAAAATTGGTTGCCCACTATTCTTAATGTGAGTTTGGTCTGGTGGTATTTTTGTAGCACTTTCGGTTTTGCTTTTTGAATATTGAGCAGAAGGTGCAGAGGCTTCCCATGTAATTCCAGTTCCCATGACTGCATGACCTCCTGGTTGTCAGTGTTCTCCTTCACAGGGGCATATTGGGTACCATCAGAGAGCTTACACCAGTGAGTCTTTATGGTACCTCATTCCTCCTCTCCCTTAGGGTACCTGTTTTGGAGCGTGTGTGTGTGTGTGTGTGTGTGCGTGTGTGTGTGTGTGTGTGTGTGTGAACTTGCTACAAGTTAGCATTATCTGGAAGGTGGGAACCACAGCTGAGGAATGCCTTCCTAAGACTGACCCATAGACAAGCCTGTGGGGCATTTTCTTGATTGGCGATCAATGGGGAAAGGCCCAGCCCACTGTAGATGATACCACCTGGGCTGGTGAGCCTGAACACTGTAAGGAAGCAGGCTGATGCCCCATTTAGAATGGGGGAGGAGTGGATGAGAGGGGTATATTATGGGAAGGGAATCGAGGGGTAGGAGGAGAGGAAGGAGGGGAAACTGTGATTGGATCTAAAATAAACAAAAAGAATTAATTTTTTTAAAAAAAGGCCAGTAAGCAGCGCCCCTCCATGGCCTCTGCTTCAGTTGCTGCCCTAACTTCCTTCAATAATGGACTATGATATGGAAGTACAAGCAAAATAAACCCTTTTCTCCCCACGTTGTTTATAGTCATGGTGTTCCATTAATCCAACAGAAACCATAACTGAGACAGTATTCTTGGAGGTGTGTATTCTGTGTCTCAATTAAAGGTTGCAGACACTCACCCACCATTACAGTATCTACCAAGGGTGCTCTAAAATCTCTGGGCTACCCCAACCCTTTCCTTCCCACTTAACCCCTGGTCTTTTTACTGTCATGGAAGTTTCGTTGTTTTTGGAACCCCATACAGTTTTCTCATATGTAGTCATTTGAGCCTGGTTACTCTCATTCTTAGTATTCATT